TGTCTATGGTCCAGGAGGTGGCGGTAATGAACCGGAAGCTGTTTGCTAACCGCATCAAACACCAAAGAGGAAGAAGAAGAAGCCGCTCGAGCATGCGCAGTCCATAAGTACGACCTGATGCTAACGTTGTGGAGTTAGCTCGGTGAGTGTTTGGATAAAGAGAAACTTGGTCGTGTGTAGTTATCGGTTCTCGTGTAGACAGTCAGTGATCACATGTACAGAGCTACCTAGGTTTTACTTGTTGTTTGATCATTCATATTTGTTCAAATTGATTCAATACAAGCTGGTAACACTGTTAGCTTAGCATTAGCATTATCATAATGCATCCAGTAGCTAGCCCTACGTTATGCTAACATGGTGCAGCTAACTGGATGTAGTAGAGATCCTTAAATACAGTGTATTTGTGTTGTAGTGTGATAAACCCTCCCTCTTGACTGAGGTAAATTATCTCAAGCAATTAAAGAATATTTGCTATATAACTCTGCTGTCACCGATTTGCTTTACTATCCAGTAGTTAGACCGATCCCTTGCACTGGAAGTTGGCATGAAGCGCCTCAGTCGAGAGGGGTCTGAGGAGTCTGGGGTCGTTTTTAAAGCACATGAAATGCGACACAGAATAGTTGTTTTTAACTTTCATTCTAAATAATTAAAGTAAATTATCAATACAGCAAATAAAGTAAGTATTCGGTGTAGATGTAACTCCACACATGGTACTGTGTTGTTCCTCAATCCAGGAATACATAGCACGGTAATAACTGTGAATATTATTATTTATTTACATCCTTGGGAACAATGTGTGTTTTATTTTCCCTCAGATAATCAAGAAGGATCTACTTTGAGTACCTGTCCAGTGTTGACACGGCAAACAGGAGTGGGTGTCTGTGTGATTGAGCCCATCACTTAGCGAAGATGGATTTCCAGCATCGAGCTGGAGGGAAGACAGGGAGCGGTGGGGTGGCATCAGCCTCTGAGAGTAACCGCGATAGGAGAGAGCGGTTACGTCAGCTGGCCCTGGAGACCATTGACATCAACAAAGACCCCTACTTTATGAAGAATCATTTAGGATCATACGAGTGTAAACTTTGCTTGACACTTCATAACAACGAGGTGAAGAGGCACATAATGAACGTTTCCTAGATTATGTTATTTGAACTCTGTGTTATTTCCTGTTATCTGTGTATCTTCTTTAAAGCAAAAGATTACAAAATGTTCCCTTCTTTATTTACAGGGCAGCTACTTGGCTCACACACAAGGAAAGAAACATCAGACCAACTTGTAAGTCCACATCTTGTCTATTTCCTGTACCATATAAATATCTCACATGAAAATTTCACTGTTGTTCTGTCTCTTGTTTTGGTCAACACACAGACATGTGCTGAGTTTATGTTGTAATTGCTGTAATTAGTTAATTTTATCAAACCACAGGTCCACACATACTTGACTTGCGATTGATAATCAGCTCTTTCATGGTTGCTGTGAATTGACCCAGCAACAATCCACTGCATCCAGTTTGTTGATTAAATGTTAAAACTACATGTTTTGTTTGTTTCAGAGCGCGGAGAGCAGCCAAGGAGGCTAAAGAAGCTCCTGCTCAGCCAGCTCCAGCGAAAGTTAAAGTTGAGGTCAAGAAGTTTGTCAAAATTGGTCGACCAGGATACAAAGGTAAACTGGCTGAATGGTCGTGTATCAGTGCAGTCATTAATTTGTTTATCCTGATAGTACTTTTGCTGCATATGGATTGTATTTTACAAAATGGTCCATGTCTTTCTCTTTTTTTTTATAGTAACCAAACAGAGGGACCCAGAGACCGGACAGCAGTCCTTACTTTTCCAGGTTAGTGTGTTCTATGTAAAACCTGTTTGTTTGTTTTGTTGGGAAGCAAATTTACATCAAAGCCCCACTTCAGAGGGATGCTATACATTTATCCAGTTTGCAAAAATTATTACTTTTGCGTGAGTGTCGTCTTGTATCACCACTGCAGTAAAAATATATTTTCTCATTCCCCACTTACCTAAGGCTGGCAATATACTTAGTTTTTTCTCCAGTTTCAAACAGCTGTCTAATACAGCACCATGTGCTAAACCAAAGGCAGGTTGTTTATAGGCATCTCTTATGGAGGACAATATGCAGTAAATGGCTCGACTTGACTCTGTGTAGGCGGGATTCTTAGCTGATTGTCATTGTGACTTTGTGTGAAACTGCCGTGATGTTGTCTTCATCGCGGAACAACAGAGGATATCAAAGGGATTGTTCTTGATTCGTTGCAGCAAGGGGACAAACTTACTTTTAGAAAAGGCTGAAGGAAGCAAGACAAAAGACAGCTGTAAGAAAACCCAGCAGTTTTTGAAATCCTTCATCAGAGCTCAGACGAAGGGGCAACTTGGTTGCTCAGTGTTGCACAAGTGACAGTTCTTTCCGATCAATCCACCTTTTAGTACCAGCACAAGTTTTGCCAACAAAAAACCAAAGAAAAAACTTTTCCAACCAAGCCAGTCTGAGCCGTACACATCACCTCGTGCATCAACTTATACAATTGCTTCCAGCAGCAGTGATGACTAAATATTGTTTTTTTGTCAAAGACAAACCAATAAAATATAATTTATTTGTTCAGATTGACTACCCAGAGATCGCTGAAGGCATCGGACCCAGGCATCGTTTCATGTCTGCTTATGAACAGCGCATCGAGCCCCCTGATCGTCGCTGGCAGTACCTGCTTTTGGCTGCTGAACCATATGAAACTATTGCCTTTAAGGTGAGTGAGAGCTGCACTTCTGTTGTGCTCTTTATAATATGTTTGTTCTTTCAGTGACATAACATCAATATCTTTGCTCCTTTAGGTCCCGAGTAGAGAAATTGACAAAGCAGAAAACCGCTTCTGGACCCACTGGAACAGAGAAACTAAACAGGTACTGATAAGCTGATTAGATTGTCACCACAAAGCCAACCTGGGTATTAAATCTGAGAACAGGAAACGTGGTTTAACCTGTCTGCCATGTTATTTTCCTTCCCAGTTCTTCCTTCAGTTCCACTTCAAAATGGAGAAAGCTGTTCCCCAGTCCAGTGGTCCACCACCTCCTGCAGGTGTGAAGCGTCCTCCTCCCCTCATGAGTGGCGTTGGACCTCGCCCACCAAGTGATTCTATGCCCCCTCCCCCGCCAGGAGGAATGTCCATCCCCCCTCTCCCACCTGGTGCCCCGGGTGCCCCCCATATGCCCCCTCAGATGCCCATGCCCCCCATGCCAATGAGGCCGCCTCCTCCCGAGGGCCTTACAATGTCTAATAATTGATCCCCTTCCTGCATTTCATGGTTGCTTTCTTTCATGGTGTACAGTCACACTGCCCTGCCTGTCTACAATGTCCATCTTCCTTTAGATATTGCAGATACATTCAGTTTGACTATTTCCATGATGTCTAAAGTCCACATTTAGTAGATTTTTATACATTTTTTTTTCTGGGTAATGTGAACGCGTAGGGCAGTCCATATGCCCACACTGTTTTGTATAAATGCTTAGATTCTGGAAATATGAAGCTATGATTGGAGATGGCTCCATCTTTTAAGATGCTGTTTTGTAATTAAATTTTGTGGAGAAAAAGAAATGTGTCTCAAAGTCTGTTTTTACAAAGACATCACACACAAAGTTTTACTGATGTATTGTATATTGCTCAAAGTTGCTGGTTGGGACGACAGCTTGAATCTATTGGGCGTTGTGGGTCAAATTATTGATAATAGATGATTGAAACCCCCAATTTCAGTCTTCAGTTTTCCATGTTCAGTCCCTTCTAGTTGCATACTCTTGACAGTTAACTGAGCTGGCATGATTCATAAGAGATTTATTAAATATGTTGTAGATCTTCCAACAAAGGGAATCAAACATGGAGAACAAAAAGCAGACAGGTCAATAAAATCAATGAAAATGCAGATGTCTTTACAGGTAACTCAAAGCTCCATTACACAATCACATCTGTTTAGCAAAGCAACAAAAAGTTGACATTGACATTCATTGTGTATGGTCAACTCGAAACACATTAATTTTGAGTCTCAGTGGTATTTGACAACATTGTTTGAATTCATACCACCTTTTAATACATTTTATATTTGATAAAAATGTATTCAGGTGGAATTCTTTTAGAAAACAGAATTTGTTTGTCAGTAGAAAGAAGCAACTCATCCCTTTTGAATCTTTTTCTTCTCTTTCGGTTCCTCCAACTTTTTCTTCTTCTTGGGCACAGCTTCCTCCTTTACTTCATCCTCATCTTCATCACCTGCTGCTTCTTTGGGTTCTTCTGTTTTATCTCTCTCTTTCTTGTCTTTGATTTCTTCATCCCTTTCTTTTTTGGCTCTCCTGTCTTTTAATTTCCCTTCTCTTGGCTTCATGAGTTTTTTGACTGGCAGTGGCTTGTTTCTGAGACCTCTTGTTGCCCGTGCTGTTGCTCTGCTCTTTGACTTTCTTCCTTTGCCCTCTTCATCATCCTCTTCCTCCTCATCCTCTTCATCATCAAGGTCTGGCAGCCACCAGAACATGACTTCCCATAGAGTTGTCTCGGGCTAGAGGAGAGGAGAACACGTGAAGTAGTTGACATAGTACAAACTGTGGTGCATGTACCGCTGTTTATCTTACAGTTGGAAGCTAAAAGAATGAAAATAATATATAAATAAAGACCTCTTTACCTCTGGTGGTTGTCTTCTGTGTCGTAATGAGCCCGACCGTCTCACTGTCAGTCCAAGTTCCTCCTCCGCTGGCCCCTGGCCACGCAGAGTTTCTGTATTTTGAAAAGAGAGAACTCAGCCTCAGCAAGCATGTCATTTTATATCTGTGGTTCTACTTTGTCTTGCTAGTTTACTTGCCATGAAGCCTCTGAAAGCCTGAGGTGAGCACCAGGATGGTAATGGCCACAAACAGACAGCGGTTCAGGGTGACATTTTCCCACGGCGTTTCAATCTGGCTCAGGTTTTGGATGGACATTGCTTTGCGCAAGGGCGCTGAAGCGAATACAAGAAAGAGGAGGGAAAGCTTTTGTTGTAATCCAGTAATGTAAACAGACACTTAGAAGCTGGATTGTGTTGAGCAGAGAGATGGTAATGACTCACTTGTTCTGGGGAAGCTGGCTTCCCGGGGTGAAGTCCGGAGTTCTACTCTTGGTTGCTGTGAAACTGGAGGCATTTCCTATTGGAGAACAACATGCAGCTTAGAATAAAAGATATATTAGGGATGTGGACACTGTGAGAAATTGGCCATGTTGGTTGTTTTCCAACTAACCTCTCTGACTTTCCTCGTGGCGTACATTTCTGAAACAGACAGATTAATGATGTTGACTTCATTAACCATAAACAACAATACAACCATGCCTTCAATCTGGAATGTATCCTCATCGATTTTATGTATAATTGTTGGCTGACATATGCTCTCATTTACACTAAATAGTCTACTGTGCCAAACTTTATGCTACAGACAGACATAACAGATGTGTACCACCATGCTAGCCGGTCTGTTAAGCTAAATTCAAACATTAGCCCACCAACATACTCACAGTGACAATGCTAACATGTTCACCATCTTTATTTAGTGTGTTAGCAATAATTTGCACTAAACAAAAAGCACAATTGAGGCTGGTGGGAGTTTCATTAATATACATAAAGTATTGGGCAAATTATAATCATTTGAACTGATGATGGTGCTGGATGAAAAGTAATCAAAGTTATTATAACTCATCCGTAAGAGCACATTAATGTTTGTACCAAATGCCATAGTAATCCATTCAATAGTTGTTGAGATATTTCACTCAAAATCACAAATGTCAACTTCATGGTGGCCTAAAAGAAAAGTCAGCCAAAATCTTTCTCTGGGGGTCATAAAACACAATTTAGGTCGATTGGAATTTCAATAGTATTGAAGGTATTTTGTCATAAACACAAGTATTAAACAATTATAAATTAACTATTATAAATCTAATTATAATAATTTGACCTGATGATGGTGCTAGATTAAAAGTAATCAGAGTTATTAGAACTTATTAGTAGGAGCATGTGAATGTTTGTAGTAATCCATCCAATAGTTGAGATATTTCACTCAAAACCACAAATGTCAACTTCATGGTGGCCTAAAAGAAAAGTCAGCCAAATTCATCCTCTGGGGGTCATAAAAGACCGTACAAAATGATTTCCGTCTGGACCAACGTGCTGGCAAATATAAATACATTCTCCTTCATGGTCTCTTTAGACTCAGGGTGGACAGCAAAGAAAGAATTTCATTGCACAGAGGAAAAACTTTTATGTATTCATTTATTCTTCCATTTATTTATAAATCTTTTGTTGCCTGATGACATGACAATAAACATCTTGATCTTGATCTTAGAAGCTCTGTCTCACAAGGAGGATTTTGTGTGCTTGGAGAGATTGAGGCTTATTACATTCACCATCCATTCAGCACAGCAGAGGTGTATTATCACCGTGTTGCCTTTGACCAGGAGTCATATTTCAGCGGCTCCCAAGTATTTATAGAGTTGTACAATATATGTACAATGGATGAAAGCTTTTACGGTGTGTGCAGACATTACAGATAATTTGTGTGTGTGTGTGTGTTTGTGTGTGTCACCACCTGGTGCTGCGTTGATCTCGTCGAACAGGCTTCTTGTGGAGGAGGGAATCTGGTCTTTGGGTGCCCTAACTCCTCTTCAAATGTCTCATAGCTGTTCTTCCGATCCCCTGGCGCGCTGTGAGAGAGGGGAAGAGAAGACGAGAGAGAGAGGGTCCGAGAAGGAAGCAAGACTGGGATGAGGAGAGATGACATGGAGAGAGAGAGAGAGAGAGGGAGAGGGAAGAAGATGGAAGTGGCTCAAAATTGTGTTTGTAAAAATGATTTGGCAGATTAACACATTTACATATTCCACAAAGCTTTGCATGTGAGCCTGTCTGTTGTCAGAGGCCAGTTCAGCCTATGGACAGTTGGTATTTTCAGAAATGCTTTTGTTGCCAGCCGTTGCCTTCCAGAAACAGGATTCAAGGGATCACAAAGCTGCTGTTCTTATCAGTATTCTTCACTTTGTACCATAGAAGAAAGTTTCTCATCAGCATTTCATTTTGGCTGCTCAAAATGATACAAGTAAAAGGTCAGCTCCTCCAGTTTATGAATAAAACTGAAGCAGTTTCCTGACCTTCACATTTACAGATGAATGCTGTGAGGCCCTTATGTCTTACATGACATTTCTACATGGACATTGAGCTAATGTCCTAGCAGCCCTATAAATAGATGAAGCAAGGCCACCAGAGAGACAGATGGATACACACTGCATATAAATACACAAAAGGAAAAGGGGTGATGTTCCTATTATACCCCTGGCTAGCCTCTGCCATGATGAAGCCTAACCTTTGACCCTGATTGAAATAAGGACCTGACCTACCTGCCTCTACATTTGGGGTCCCCCGGGCAGCGTCGTGGGAACCTTTGTCACAGAGCCTGTTGTTCCTCTGCAGAGATGGCAGCCGAGTCACGCTCTGAACTGTCTGACAGCCAAGCACAGGTGCCGCAGAATGAAAAAACAAAAAGAATTGAGTGTCAGTCAGAGGCCTTGACTGAGGCAGGGTTGACATTAACATTCACTGTACAGCTCTCAAATCCGAAGAGAAGGCTGAGAAGGGAAGGAGAAGGCCACAAGTTGAACCAAGTTTTGGAAAACCATGAGCAATGTTGGAATAAACCTTATTAAGATGTTACCATATTTTGTATCAAAGGAGTTACAGTACATCAATTGCACAAATTTGAGCAACCAGGACAACTCCTATTAATAAAAACTGTAAACAAAAAAAAAGAAATTAAGGAAGAAAATTCTAATATATACTGTAGATGTTTAATTTTAAGATGTTTTCTCACCTTTTATCTGAATGTTTGGACATTATATTTCACCAGCAGAGAGCGCCACTGTACTACTTCAGGCTGCTCTGCTCTACAGATGAAGTCTGTAGTCTGTAAAATTAACAGAAGGGCTGACACATTTCCTTTTTATAAGCTAACCATTTGCCAAACCCTCTATATCAAGCACTTGACACACATGATCATGTTGTCAATCATTTCATTTTATCAAATTATATTCTTTATGTTGCATTAGTGTATCTTTAGCAGTAATCTTGTCAACTGAATGAGGTAAGTGGATATTTTCATACTGTTTGTGTGTGTTGTGAGGCTGTCAGGCAAATTTGCCCTCTTTACATGATATGGAGGCCACTAAAAAGAAGCAGTGTAAACAGATGTAAAGATGATTGGGTTATATCAGGGTGAGGTGGTTGCAGGCCACCTTTATGTGGGAGGGGAGAGGAAGTGTTGGTAAACAGACTTGTGGCGATGTTGATGACTCATACCTACATTTGCTGGGACTCTGCCCAATTCCAGCTGAATCACGCATTGCTATACCCATCAGTAATCACTTTAAGTTTGGACATAAGCTCTTTAACTGTTGCCTTGGAGAGACTAACCAAGAGAAGGCTGGGGTCTCAAATGGTACCCAGAGCAGCATCATTTGACATAATGTACAAAACCTGACACAACCAATCTCTGCCAGTCACTGTGCTTTTTATAACTCTTATCTTAAAATTCTTAAAAATACTTTATTTAATACATTTTGGCTATCTTACCATCATTAAGGTTGTTTCTGAGACTGTCTGGTTTCCTTTTACAAGGTCAATCATGTGATTTATACATCACCATACAGAGAAACTATGTATACAAAACATTACCATCATCCAGTTAGAATCATGCTAGTGCTATGCTATGCTAGTGGCATGGCTCCACTGATTATAATGTTGGTCAGTTCACCACTTTCCAGACTGACTTACTGACACTGTTTCAACAACTATTGGCTAGATTGCCATGAAATTTTGTTTACACATTCATGCTTGCCTCAAGATGATTGTAACGTGTTGACATTAGCATTAAGCTCAAAGCACAGCTGTGCTTATGCCCCAGTTTCAAAACATATTATATTGGTAAAGAAATGTATATAAATGACCATAAAAAACATACAAATATTACAACATTACAACCAACCTTTCAAAAAAATGTATGTCTCTTCTTAACCCACCTCTGTTGAATCTCCATTTTCAATGCAGAATAGCAAATTTGATATTCATTCAACCTCCTTTTTTAAACTCATTTCCCAAAGCCCAGTATATTCATACCTTACCTGTCTTACCTGCATTAATACTTATAGCAGCTTAAGCTTAACTAACCTCAACCTCCTTTAACTTCAGTTTTTGGGAACGAATATATTCCAGTGGACTGGTTCCACTGCCTAGTTAAGTGTTGTGCACATGTATCCAGTATATGTAAAGTGTACCATATGTTATGCACATATGTATAAGATAGATGACTTCATATTCCAGTAAACACACAGTGAATAGTATAGTGGCATCATGTGTTCATTTAGTGTTATTCTTTGTATAATGATGAGCTTGTCTGCAGACTTAATTGACCAAATGCACACTCTCACCCCACTGATTTGTCAGTGCTTATTAGTCCCAAGGATACATCAGGAGTGCATCATCTGTGTGAACAGTGCTAACTGAAAAGGGCATTTGATTTCGATGAATTAATTCTTCCAAATCAAGCCTTCCAATGTCACACTGAGCCTGCAGATTGACAGATTTACTACTTAGTAAGTAACACTCTCTTTCTATCTTATTCATAGCACACATTGAGGTAAAAAAAGTTTAGGCCAAAGTCTTAAAGAATTTTTCAAGGACCCAGCACACCTATGTGTATGCACCGTGCCCAATAAGGTGAGCAAACATTGCCTGCGGACATCTACGTTCCAAATTCAGGCTCTGGAGAGATCCGAGCTGGGTGAGGCGTTCTGTCCCCATTTGTCCTTACATAATGGGCACTGTGCTCAGAGGACACACTGACTGCCCAGTACCCAGTGGGAGCTGCTCTATGCCCTCCCTCACAGAGGAGTATGTTGGACCGTGAAACAACATTAACTGTGTAGTCTGTCAGGAACTCACAGACTTGAATGACTTACGGCGACTTGAATGACTTACGGCGACTTGAATTAATATTGGATTTAATGATTGAGTTTTAATTTTCAGTCATTGTAAACGAAGAGCTGATGTGTCTTTATGAAGCTAACACTGAAAGATGATGTGTCCCGAGGTGTAGAACTGAGACTTGGACTTGAGTCAGACTTAAGGCCTCAGTATGCTTGGTTGTGTCAAAATCCTCCTCCTCTTACACCTTTCCAACGTCAGTATTAGGGTTGCATCCAACAATTGTTGTATCATTCTGAAATATACAATCCAACAGAATTGTCCTCTTCACA